CTCCAGGGCTGGGTCACAGGGCAGTGGGGATTCAGGCTCAGGGCTGTCTTAGCTACACAGCCAGGCTGTGTGTTTGCTGCTGGGATCCCATTACCCTCAGGTGCTCTGGGGCAGACTGGGATTCCTCATCACCCCACCCAGGGAGGCCAGTTGGAGCATTTGGTCATGAACAGGAAAGCTGAGCCTGTCTCTGGCCCAGGCTGAGAGTAGCCATCCTGGGACATTCACCTCCCAGATTAATTGCTCTAGCTTCAGCTCTTCCAGGCAGCCCAGCCAGCCAGGCTGTGCCAAGGCCAATAAACCCAAAAGAGAGGCCCCAAGCCAGACAATCCCTCCCCCTAAACCCTGACGCTCAGGCCTGCAGACCAATTGGTTTCCCATTATCCTCCTGTCTTGTGAGTGCCCCACCATATAAGTAAGGAAGTAAGCTGGGCCAGACCCTACCCCAGCCCTCCTTAAGAACCACCCACCCACGGGAGTCCCCTGCAGCCAACCACAGCCCACACTAGGCCTTGCTCAGCACCCCTGAAGGAGTGGAGGCAGGCTGGTGGGCTGGCATGTGGACAAGAGGTCGGGCAAAGGGCTGCGGGTACACCAGGACCACCTAAGGGCTAGAATGAGGCCTGCAGAGCTAGCAGGGACACCGCCCACTCTCCCAGCCCTGACACGGAGGTACAGTCAGCAACTTCCCCCTCCTGGTAGGCCCACACCTGGAAGCCACATGGAACTGTGGGTGAAGCAGCTCTGTTGGCCCCCTAGTACTCCTGCAGACAGCCATCTGCTTCTCCAGCTATTTGGTTCTGCCTTCTCCTTTCACTTCCCTGGTACTAATATCCCACTTGCCAGGTCTCTCCATGTGCCCAGACAGTGCTGAGCCCTCACATGTGTTCATGTTAATCTCCACAATCACCTCAGGAAATAGAAGTATTATCGTCATCTCCATTTTTACAGATATGGAAACTGAGGCACAGAAAACATAAACGCTTTGCCCATCATCACCCAGCATACCTGTGGTGAAGCCAGGATGAGACCAGGCCTATCCAATTCCAAAGCCTTCCACCTTTGTCCTGCCGAACACCTCTGCACCCAGATCTCCCAAGACCAACCCCCAGGGCAGGTCAGGCTGTGGGAACAAACCCTCAGCACTTCCTTCCCAGGAAGCACACCTTCTAGCTTCTCTCCCTCTCCCTCCTGCCCCAAGGGCTTCTTGAGAAGTCGAGGCTCCCTGGGTTAGAAGCTCTTGACTGCCCAGGAAAGCATCGATGCATAGGTCCTAACTTAGACACTTCAAGCTCCCTGGCTACAGTGTGGCAGCATCAGGCTCCCCAAATGTTGTTTACTAATAAATCCCTGAGAATTTATAATAAAGTTGATGGGGCCTAACTGATGGGCCCAGGACAAAAGGGAGCCAATTACCCAACACTCTCTGCTACGATCTTAAAACAGATGTTCGAGTGTGTAAAATTATGGCTTGTGGTTGGAAACTGCAGATACAATTCCAACCTTCCCTTTTATTGCCACTCATAAATGTTAAATGCGACAAGCTCTACATCTGAAATTCAGTTGTTGCCATTTTGTCCCACGTTTCTGAAGCCAAGGCTACATTTTAGAGTTGATGTCCTCGTAATTTACTCAACTCCTGTGAACATGCAGAAAAGAACCTTGCACAACACACAGCAGAGGACAGACACGCAGCAGAGGCCAGGCCACCCGCAGCTCAGCCCTGACCACCCCAGTACCGGGAGGAGAGGTAGATGGGGTCGCCAGCCCCTGTCTTTCAGAATTTACAGGTCAAGCGATGCAAACCTGGACCAGCAGGCCAGGCCCCTCCCACCCCTCCAGAACCCAGGTCAGCCTAATTCTTGGCACGTATATACAGGCCAGGTAGGAAGGTGGGTTCATGAACATTTGGATGTGATTTGCATACAGGTTCTCTGGAACTTTCCCAGGACTCCCATAGTGGAGACTCCAGGAAGGCAGTCATGCAACCAGCTCTGCTCCCAAGCCTCCTCACACAACTGCCCATCGAGGAACTGGGGGGACACGGAGGTAGGGAGAACAGTGAAGAGTCTGGGAAGGTGGAGCTGGCCCCAACAATTCTCAACAGTTCCTTGGCATCCTTCCTCAAGCCCAGAGCCCTTCCTCTCAGGCCACCTGTTAGGTCTGCTCCAAGGGTGACCCTGGAAACCCTCAGTCAACACGGCCCTGCCTGAGCATGTGTGCCCTGGAAGTCCCCAAGAAATCCACAGGCAAAGGGGTCTGTAATGGTTTGTGTCCCCTTAAAAAATATATGTTGAAGTCCTAACCTCCAGCACCTCAGAATATCCCCTTATTTGGAAATAAGGTCTTTAGAGTTAATGAGGTCATTAGGGTGGGCCCTAATCTAGTCTGGTGTCCTTATAAAAAGGAGAAATTTGGACACAGGGACCTGCAGAGAAGGAAGACTATGTGAAGAGACACGGGGAGATGGCTCTCCACGAGCCGAGAAATGCCTGGGACTACCAGAAGCCAGGGGGGAGGTATGAAGACGATTCTCTCACAGCCCTGAGAAGGAACCAGCCCTGCCGGCCTCTTGATCTTAGACTTTCAGCCTTCAGAAATGTGAGAGAACAGACTTTTGCTGTTTAAGCCGCCCAGGCTTGAGTACTTTTTTACGACAGCCCTGGGAAACCAGTACACTCACTATCACTGGGCCATCTGGCACTGACCACACAGCTTTGCACTTGGCCCACTGCAGATTCAGGGCAGAGGCGCATCCACCCTAACATGAGGCTGCACGTCCAGGGCCCAGGAGGGGCCCTAACAAAGTGTCCACATTATTCCATGGTTTTGGTGAAGTGTAAACTGGGCCATTTTAACACAAATAGGACTGAAGAAAAGCGAAGTTTACTCACCGTCAGGTCTGTCTATGAAAGAAAAAGAAGGCCCAAGAAAACAGTATGAAGGGGACATCCCCACAGCCTCTACAGAAACCCTTTAACACACTGCCCAGCTTCTCCCCCAAAGGCACAGTGTGAAAGGGAGGTAGGGATGTCAATCCACATTTTCACCAGGAGGAGAAAATGACCAATAACAGCACATGTAGGTCCACTAGAAACAAAGCGGGCACTAAGTAGAAGACACACAGGGACTGACCTGAAAGAGCAGCATTCGTGTGTCCTTCCTTTTTTTTTTTTTTTCCCTGAGATGGAGTCTCGCTCTGCCGCCCAGGCTGGAGTGCAGTGGCATGACCCTGACTAACTATAACCTCCACCTCCCAGATTCAAGCAATTCTCATGTCCTAGCCTGCGAGCAGATGGGATACAGGTGCGCACCACAACTCCCAGCTAATTTTTGCCTTTTTAGTAGAGATGGGGTTTCACCATATTGGCCAGGCTGTTCTCAAACTCCTGACCTCAAGTGATCCAACCGCCACGGCCTCCCAAAGTACTGGGATTACAGGTGTGAGCCACCGCCCCCGGCCCCGTGTGTCCTTCCTAAGAACAGTAGCCCTACTATCAGGCCCTGACCCTGCTGGACTGTATCCTCTGCCATCAGGGATGGACCTATTCTTCTTTCCTATTTGCTTCAGAGAAAAGGTGAGGTCACGCATTGTCTGGGAGCTGCCTTGATCGCTGCTATTATAAATGGGGGCCAACCCTTCCAGGAACAGGTCAGCCCCAGAGCTATTTTACAATAGAATGTGAGACACGAGAGAGGCTGGTTGAACAAGGATAACAGCCAGCATGTCTTACAGTGAGCATCTGAGCCCCCTAGTCCTGCCCTCATCCCAAACCACCTGCATCCTCACAAAAGCCTCTCTTCCTGCAAACCCACCCAGTCCTTCCCCTTCACCCTCAACTCCCTGTCCCTTGAGGGCCAGGCATTGGAGGAGGAGGGCTGTGTCCTAGCTTTAAAACTCACCATGGCTGTCCAGGCGTGGTGGCTCATGCCTGTAGTCCCAATTACTCAGAATGCTGAAGCAGGAAGATCACTTAGAGCCCAGGAGTTTGAGGCTGCATTGAGCTATGATCATGCCACTGTCCTCCAGCCTGGGCGTAAGAGTGAGACCCTACCTCCAAAACCAAACAAAAACTCACCATGGTTTACCAATACCCTAAGGAAAAAATCAAGGCCCTTTGTCTAGGTACAAATGAAGCCTTCATTTGTCTCAGTATGAAAGATACAAGTGTTCTGAGCTCCAGGAATTCCTTCCCCCAAATATTTCAGGCCTCCTTGAGATGTTGTTTACATGGATGACTTGGCTGCTGTGTCTGACAAGGGGTGCCAGGCATCAGCAGGTTCCACAGCCAGGCCCCAGAGCCGCAAGCAGCCCGCAAGCTGCGCTACACCTGCTCAACTCCCTGACCCATTCTCCTGACTATTCAAGCGTGCCACACTCAGGCAGCAGTGCCCCCCAGCAAGGGTGCCTGGGCCTAAGGCATTGTGACTTGGGGGCCAGCTCTCTCCATGCCCACACCCAGATGCCTTCAAGCTGCGGGAGTAGGGGTAAGGATGCCCTCCTCCCTCCTGTATCATGAGGCCAGATTCCTCCCTGCCAGGCACCCCTTGCCCTTTCCTAGAATCTGACTTTGCTTGTCATCACCCCATCTCTGATGGTGTCTATCATCTTGAATTTCACAAGGCCCCCTTTTCAAAAGCAGCATCCTCCCAACTCCTATATCAAGTAGTGACTGCAAAAAGGTGGGGGAACCTTTTATGTGACTTCACCCACTGACAGCATCTGTGCTGCAGGCCCTGGCTAGCATCTTGTCAGCCTTCTCTGTCTCCATTCTCTGCCCTGAGCTTTCCACTCCGACTACTGGTCGCTCCTCGCACGTCTGTGGTCCAGCTGTCCCCTCTGCCTCCAGCTCCTTCACCAAACCCTCTCTCACTTATGTAGCCGACACACATTCATCCTTGACCCCCGCGCCGCTCCTGGCTACCTCCTCAGGCTGCTCCCTAGCTCCTTGTACTTCTCTTACTGCTACCTTGCACACTGATTGTTAATTATTTACTTGCAAGCCCTGCTAGATTAAGAGCTGGCCACTCAGAGAATGGTGACGAAAGGGACCAAATAAGCCAAGAAACGAAGTCCAGGCTCCCCATTTGTCGTAACCGCTGGGTCCCCTTCAGTTGCCACAGCACTTGAGGCCAGAAAGTCCTCAGCTCCCAGGTGAAGTCCTCCACCAGCAGCCCATTCCTGGGGGTGGGTGCCATGACAGCCATGCCAGATTGTCAGGCGCCACTTATTCTGTAAACTCAAATTAACAGGAAGCAATTTCATTAACAGATAGTGCTGCTTGAGGAGTTAGCTCCAATTGAAGGCTTATTTTTAGTGCCCTTAAAAGCTGTGTGGAGCAAGCTGAAGCGCTGGATCTGATTTAATGGAAACTGACTGACATGCATGTTTCACCTGTGGACATGGGAGACCCCCCGAGGCCTTTCCCCTGGGCTGTGAGGGCCCCTCCAAGTTACAGAGCCATTCTCCACTTTGAGGACAGGGGTGGAGAGGGGCAGACAGAGTTGCAGCTTGGCTTGTGGGTGCCATTAGAGAAGGGACCTCAACCTGGCAAATGCCTCCTCCACCCTGGGGAAGCGTTCCACCTGGCCAGGAAAAAGACACATGTGGATAAAGAAGTCACAGACTTGCCAGCTACCCGGCGAGACCAGGGAGCCAGGAGCACCGTGGAGATAAGCCAGTCGCCCGGAGAAGAACCACTCCGCATACTAGCACTGGCCACAACCAAGCTAGAGCCAAGTCACATAGCCCACAAGACACAATGTCCTGTGGTCAGAAACAGTTCCAGAGAAATACCAAACTTTCCTTGGCATTTCTTCAGAAACACTGTGCCTCTCCCTCTCCTCACCATTGTACTCAGCCTCGCTCTTCCCACCTCCTGCCCACAACCTCCATCACCCGCAGCTGTTTGTGATGTTAATCAGCAGTCCCAGTTATTTCTCCTTTAACCCGTCACTCAGACTGTCTATCCACAGAACAAAAGCAGCATGTTCACCTGGGAGCTTGTTAGAAATGAAACTCCAGGACCCCACTGAAGACCTGTGGAATCTGAAACTTGGAGGGCGGGCCCAGTCGTCTGTGTAACAAGGTCCCCAGGGGACTCAGATGCACACTCAGCCGCTGCTTTACCTCAGAGGAGAGCCCGGGAGCTGGTCCACAGTGAGAGTCCTCCCACCCTTTCTCCTCTGCCTCTCCTGTGTTGTCTCTTCTGCCCATTTTCCGGATTGGGCATTATAGAAATCTGGAAAACAAGATGACCAAGACAGAACTTGTAGACAGTAATGAATGCCAAGAGGCAATCCTCTTCAAAGGAAGGGGGGAACCCTCATACACCAAGAAATCTTGTCCTTTTTTTTTTTTTTTTTAGACAGTCTTGCTTTGTCACCCAGGCTGGAGTACAGTGGTGCAATCACGGCTCACTGCAACCTCTGCCTCCCAGGTTCAAGCAATTCTCATGCCTCAGCCTCCCAAGTAGCTGGGATTACAGGCACCCGCCACCACACCAGGCTACTTTTTGTATTTTTAGTAGAGACGGGGTTTCACCATGTTGGCCAGGCTGATCTTGAACCCCTGACCTCAGGCAATCTGCCTGCCTCAGCCTCCCAAAGTGCTGGGATTACAGCATGAGCCACCACACCAGGCCTTGTCTCTTTTATGCCATGCATATTTGGCCTCTCCACCACAAGTTAGGCAAGGAAACAAAACTGGGCCTGAGGAGCCTCACACGGAACCCAGGTATTCTGAAGCTCTTCCTCACTTCTCTGCAACAGATGTCCAGGATTCAGAGGCAAATCGCTGCTTTCTAGGAGTCTCTATCCACAGCTACAGAACTCCACCTTGAACAGGGTTAGTGTGTTGTTACTGCTCCTTGCTGAGGCTACTAATGGGATCACACGACGCTGAGTCCACTGGAGTGGCTCAAGTCAAAAGGAACAGAGGGACCTCCGTTCCTCCATCCAGGTGGATTCATGTGTCACCCCAGGGACAGGAAGCAGCACTCCCTCCCCACCCAGGGACTATGACCAGGTCACACGGGAGGGCAGTACCTCTTTAGTTCTTAGGTTGACTTTCTACCTTGTTCCTCTGGAGCCTGGGCTCCTGGTGGGATAAGGACAAGAAAGGCCGGGAGGCTGCGGTAACTCGGACTGCTGATGTCTGGGTCAGCTACTTTGCACTTTAAAGGGCAAGTTACACACCTGTTGTGAGCAATACCTTTATTCTTCCTGTCTTCAGTGCCTTCCGCATCCATCATCTCACATGCCGGACAGGCCTGCTGTTACCCCCATTTTACAGACGAAGGAACTGAGGCTCCTATAGGTTGTCTTTCTCAAAGCACAGTCCATGATAGGCATCTCCTGGGAACTTGTTAGAAACGGACTCTTCGCCAGGTGCGGTGGCTCATGCCTATAATCCCAGCACTGTGGGAGGCCAAGGCAGGTGGATCACGAGGTCAGGAATTCAAGACTAGCCAGGCCAAGATGGTGAAACCCCATCTCTACTAAAACTACAAAAATTAGTCAGGTATGGTGGCAGGTGCCTGTAATCCCAGCTACTTGGTAGGCTGAGGCAGGAGAATTGCTTCAACCTGGGCAGCAGAGGTTGCAGTGAACAGAGCTTGCGCCACTGCACTCCAGCCTGGGTGACAGAGTGAGACTCCATCTCAAAAAAAGAAAAAGGAAAAAAAAATGGACTCTTCAGCCCCACTCTGACCTGCTGAATCAGAATCTGCATTTTAACAAGATCCCTAGGTATACTGAGAAGCACCAGGCTGGGATCTACCCGAGGTCTGGAATCAGTCCAAGATTCTTCTTTTTAACAGTGATGCCATACTTTGGGTGGTAAGGACCTAAGAAGTCAGTAGCAAAAGGCCTACTTTCTTGCTTGAGCCCCTGCTTGCTAGCTTGAGGACTCTGTTAAACCATACTTATTTTGCTTGTAGCTACCCAGAGGAAAAGGTGGCTGGCTGTGTTCTCCAAACTTGTGGGACTCCTCAACGAGTGAAGTCTGATCTACGCACGGAACCAGCCACCACGGCAAAAGAAGAGCGATGGCGCCCCCATGTGGCAACACAAGCACCGCAATTTCACACAAGACCAAATCAGAATTGGCCGGAGGGGAACATCAGATTCTTAGGGAGTGTGACTCCAACTAATGCTATACTCAGGGCGACTTTTTGGAAGGCAAAAGCCCCATAGTCTAGCCATACAACTTTCCAGAAGTGTAACACTCTTCAAAACAGTTGGCATCAAAATTCTTGGCTCTGCCATCCACCCATTCTGAGAGACTCTTTCCTCATCCCCAAAAATGGAAGTTCCGATAAGAGAACTTCAAGAGGAGTTCTACCGTTTTTCTCCTCATTGAAAATAATAGAAAACAATAAAATACTGCATTTCCGCCTTCAAGTATTCACTGAGCGCCTTCTCCATTCCCTGTTTCATGCCAGGCTGCAGGCAGGCAGCCGTAACCCAGGCAGAGTCCCTCCTTCAGTTGTGGGATGTAGAAGACAAGGACAGGACCAGTCACAGAGGAAAGACCTTCACTCATGCTGGAGCCTCCTTTACCACCGCATGGGCCCTTTCAACTTTCCTAACCCACACAGCTCACTGGCTCCTCATGGTAACCTCACGGCAACCTCACATGGGTCCTACGAAGCCCCCCGCCAGCACTCCTGAAAGGTGCCCTATAATTGGAACCATCCTTTTGTGGAGTATATACTGACCCAGTTCATCCTTAGAAATGCTTTGCTGGGATTTACATCCTGGAAGCTGGGTCACTGACTGGTCTTCCAACACCATCTGTTTCCAGCTTTCTCTTCTGCAAGCATTAGCTGAGTCTAATTTAAATAATAGATATTTTAAAATACGTTTTAAAGTTCATGTAGAAAAAAAAAATGTGAGACCTCCAGTATGTGGTGAGTAAGGGTCTGCTTACTTGTGATAAGAAAAGCACTTGAAGTGCTTTCTGTCCCTCCACTGATCCAGGACTCCAAATCTAATAGCCCACCTGGCCCTTGAAGGATGTAAACCCAGACACACTAGTGAACAGGCCCGATAAAAACACAGCTTTCTGAATTCTTTTCTGTGTTGTTTGAAGCTGGCGAATGCCACTTAGGAAGTGAGAGTAAAGAGTCTCTCTACTCTCCCTGTTCTAATGACGTGTGCTGAAACTGGACGAATAAGGTCAGGATTAGCCTGGCACTTGTTCATGGATATTGAGCAAATCTGGAAAGCATTCTGTATTTTTTTCACATCCTCTGAGGTCTTGCCCTCCCTGATCCTCCAAAAATTTATACCCTCCTTTATCTTCCCAAATGTGCTGCTTATACCTCAACTCGGCCATGTTCCCCATTTGCCTCGTAGACTGATGCTTAAGACGTCACCTCTTTAGCTTCTACACTTCTTGCAGCATCTGCTCAAAATAGTTCACAAAAACAGTGGCATTCCAGGTTAGAGGGTCATGGCCCAGGGCTACCCCAGCCAAAGCCAAGTACATCCAAGGAATGTATTGGCAATTCCAAGACTCCCAATAGTCTCAACTAAGTGGTGGGAACCATCCCCATTTACACACAGGACTGTGGGCACAGGACACTGCCCAACCTCCTTTCTCACAGACTGATGCCTCCTTTCAGAGAGGCCAAGCTTCTTGACCCTCACCTCAAGCCCCTTCAACCCACCTGGCTCCCACCCTCCTGAAGAATCTAACCCTGCTGGCCACTGCCATATCTCACATCTCTAGCTCCCTTCCTCCCAACACGCTTTATGCATCATAACTCCTCTCTGGCAGTTCCTTCTTTCAAAGCTTCTACTTCCTCTTCCTAACACATCCAAACACAAGTCTTCATCCCGTCAACCAGGAACACAACTCCAGCCCCAAAAGCTTCCATCCACACCCACCTGGAGCATCAATATCTCAACCCCACCCAGGAAAACTTCTCAATCTAAACTCCCACATCTCCAATGACTCCTCAAGACTAGAAGCTCCACATGTACAATCATATCCTGTATTCTAGGTTTGAAACCTTGGAGCCATTCTTCTTAAAACACACTTCTAGTTTTCTTAACATTATAAAATTCCTAAATGCTTTTATTAGTGACAGGAGGTGGTGGGGGGTGGGGGCGTGTCTCCCCATGTTGCCCAGGCTGGTCTTGAACTGCTGGACTCAAGAAATCCTCCCAACTTGGCTGGGATTACAGGCATGAGCCACCATGCCTGGCCCTAAATGCTTATTGTAGAAATCTTTCAGGCCAGGCACGGTGGCTCACGCCTGTAATCCCAGCACTTTGGGAGGCTGAGGCGGGTGGATCACGAGGTCAGGAGATTGAGACCATCCTGGTTAACATGGTAAAACCCTGTCTCTACCAAAAATACAAAAAAATTAGCCAGGTGTGGTGGCGGGCGCCTATAGTCCCAGCTACTCGGGAGGCTGAGGCAGGAGAATGGCATGAACCTAGGAAGCGGAGCTTGCAGTGAGCCGAGATAGTGCCACTGCACTCCAGCCTGGGCGACAGAGCAAGACTCTGTCTCAAAAAAAAAAAAAAAGAAATCTACAATCACCCACAATCCCACCCTAAAAACCACTTCATCTGGGAAAATCATTCTGGCTTTTTTATTGCAAACCCATTTAATGTTATTTCCAAACATGAGAAGCTATGTAGTTTTATAACCTACATTCTTGTGTAAAAATGTAGGCCAGGCATGGTGGCTCACACCTGTAATCCCGGCACTTTGGGAGGTCAAGGCGGGCGGATCACAAGGTCAGAAGTTCAAGACCAGCCTGGCCAATACAATGAAACTCCGTCTCTACTAAAAATACAAAAATTAGCCATGCGCGGTGGCGCATGCCTGTAGTCCGTTACTCAGGAGGCTGAGGCAGAAGAATCACTTGAACCCGGGAGGCAGAGGCTGCAGTAAGCCAAGATCTCGCCACTGCACTCCAGCCTGGGCGACAAAGTGAGACTCCATCTAAAATAATAATAATACACACCTTTCTGTTAAAGCCACTTGAAATTATTGAAATAGATCAAGTGTACATATAAGTACACTATCAAAAGTCAGATCAAGAAAGAAGGATCACCAAGTCTCACATCATCTTGTCACTACTCCACAAAGAGTAACTACTATCCCAACTTCTAAAGCATGGTTTTGAGCTGGAACCATGCTTACATCTTCCCTCTTCCTGCAGGTACCAAAACCAGCCATTTTCCCTTTCATCTGGCTGTCCCCTCAAAGATGCACCAAGTCCCACTACCTCCAACATCCCCCAGGCTCCCTGTGCCCCCGCAAAACAGCTCCCACTGCCCCACAACAGAACCCTGATCTCTCAGCCCCCCACCTTTTATGGAGACAGGGTATCACTTTATCACCCCAGCTGGAGTTGCAAGGGCGCAATCTTGGTTCACTGCAGCTTTGACCACCTGGGCTCAAGTGATCCTCCTACCTCAGCCCCCCAAGTAGCTGGAATCACAGGTGCACACCACCACACCCAGCTATCTCAGCTCTTTCTACCACATCTAACAATTCCCCTACACAAACCACTTAAATGTTCAAACCTACTAGAGACACATTTCTTAAGACACGTGGCTACAATAGGCCCTGTTGGTAGGCCCTGGCAGGTAAGCCGCTCCTACAGCCAGAGGACTAGGACTGTGTAAGGGGCATGATCCAGGGAACAAGACCCCGACCCCTCCTCATCTAGACCCATGCCTTCTCCAATTAAGGTCTTTTTCACGGGCTTCATGCCCTTTAAACACCCATCACCACCATATATATATACACTAACACACATTCCACACAGCCACACCACATATCCAGTGGCCGCAACTGTTCTAGGACTCTGGGCCGTGCTGTTCTTTGGCCAGGTATCAGTCCTAGCACTTACCTTTATGCCATAACCCCCACCTTCTGCTAACAAAACCCTCAAAGTAAGGCCCAGTCACAGGAGCAAGACAAGGATTCCTAACACCAAAGGAACTGGGCCAAGACTCAACTGGAGTACAGAAAAATCAGCAACATTTTCTTACAAAGTAGGCAGTGCTTCAGCTGTCACTCTTCAGGCTGGAGGTCTTCAACAGATGCTAAGTGAAATTTAGCTCAGGGGGTTCCTACTCCTAGAGAATGTTATTATTGAAAACACACACCTCGCCCCGCCCACACACACACCCACACCCACCCACACCCACACACACCCACACACACCCACACACACCCAGCAGCCTTCATTATGGAATTAAGGAAACCATTCAAGTGTAAGACAGGTTTACTTTATTAGTTTTTCCTAAACTTGTCTCATGTTTACTGAATGATTTTCTTAGTGTAAGAATGTGACCTGGAGCTTTAACAAATCAGTTTGGATAACGCAACCTGGATAAATGCTTGTCTCTACACAAGCCATCAATTACCTCTCTGTCCTGGCCTCCATGAAAATCCAACTGGTCTTAAAGTCTGTCTAAGCAGAGAGCAAGTAGACCACATCATCTTGTTTCAACTTCAAATTCACCCCATCCCAACACCCACACCCTTCCCCCACCACACACACACACCAAAAAAAAAAACAAAAACAATTTTTTTTTTTTTTTTAAAGAAGAAATGGCCATTAAGGACTTGGCCAGTTGTACAAGGGTTGGCTTAATCCTGCAGCCAGCACTTTTAAAATAGCTATTGGCTTCACAGCAGGCCAGCTGGAACTCTTGAAGCATGACAGGCAGAGAACAGAGATGTGCTAAGAACAGGGCCTTGTTGCGGTGCCACGAGGCTTCCATGCGTGCTTACACACCAGTGTAAGTATACTTTCCCCTTCCTCCTCCTAAGCAATTTTTCTCTGTAGCACTTGAGAGCCTGTAACACTCAAACTTTTCGATGTATCTAGAGATGGACAAACGCTTAATTCTAACTATGCAACATATCATCTTATTTCTAACAACATAGGCCAAAAGTAACAGAGAGGCACTCTGTTATACAGAATATCAATTTTTACAAAGATCCAAAACATTACCAACAAGTCTTTTAAGTTTCTTAAAGCAGGTACCAACTCTGGCCTCAAACACAGGCTTCCCTTGGAGTTTCCAAAATGCCTCACTCCTGTCAACACTGCCCCAAAAAGCAGTCAGAGGAATGCTTTGGTATACCTGACACTGGCCACACAGTTAAGAATGAGGTGTTGTTATAACATCAGGCACCACACTTCTTTAACACTAATTTCAGACTCATCCAGTACAATCCAGTGTATCTTAAGTTTTTTTCTATCATCTGTCAGCTGCTTAACATGTACAAATTGGCAGGTTCATGATAGATATTAACACAACACACAAGTGATTGTGAATGAGCTAAAAAGAACTTTTAACTCTTGTCCTAGGAGTTCAAGCTATACCTCAAAATTATACAGAACATCTCCCACCTGAATAAA